TTTTTTTTTTTTTGATGCCACATTTTATGGTGAAACTGCAGTCAAGGTAGCCCATGCATGTGGTGCTGTGGATTACAGCTTCACCCCACCACACCTCTGTCTTGGTGGACTTGAGAGGGGTCAGATACCTGCTGGAGGCTCATGAGGCTGACAGACTCATCTTAGTTGTTAGCAGGTGTGCACAGGTTTTAAATTTCCATTGTGGGCTGGACCTTGTAGTCCAGCAGCAGTATGAGAGCAAGGCCCTGGGGGTTTGGAAGCAAGAGGCTGTGGGGAGTTGGCCAAGCAATGGACAGGTGGGGCTTGAGGAAGTCTCAGCACAGGGTCATGAAATTCTAGATTGGGGTTTCTGCTGGGAACAGACTATAGCACAAACCAAAGGAGAAGTTCTTTGGTTAGTAAACGTAATGGATATAGGCCAGTGATGGCAAGCCTTTTAGAGACTGAGTGCCGACACTGCAACCCAAAACTCACTGATTTATTGTAAAGTGCCAACACTGAAATTAAACCTGAATGCTTGGCTGCAGGGTCAGTGCTAGGCTCGGGTGCCAACAGAGAGGGCTCTAGATGCCCATTGAAGCACACATGCCATAGGTTCACCACCATGAGTACAGGCCCCATTAAACAGACAAGATCAATAATTAAAGAGGCTCAGCATCCACTCAGGAAGAGGTATATGATGAAGTGCAAATGCTTTTAAGCTTTTTGCCTTTTAAGCATAATGTTTCCCTCCCGAACATTAACACTGAGACATTCTTGCCATAGACCCAGGGCCTGGCCCAGCACACTTCCCTGAGTTCTCAGGGTGTACCTGGTCCATCTGCTGCCCGACCCTGCATCCTCCAGCCCCTGACCTTGGTCAGAGCTGTCAGCACCAGCTCTCCCAGACCATACCTGGTAGGCTTCATACTGGCACCACTCTCACAATCTTTGCAGGTGTCATTGTTACTTTTCTCATGGTAAGACTAAATATCTGGCACCCAAAGTTAAAGGAAAAAAGGTTTATTTCAGTTCACAGCTTACACAGGTTTCAGTCCATAGCCAGCTGGATTCAAGGCAGGGTGGCATAGCTCAGGGCATCAAAGGAGAGAAATAGTTCATGGAGTGGCAGGCAGAAGGCAGGGAGCAATAGGCAGCCAGCTATCTTCCCTTTGCTCTCATCCAGGCCACCAGCCTTTTAGGTGGCAACACCCAGAACTATAATTCTCTTTCTAATTTAACCACACACAGTTAATCCCAGTATCACACATCCAAGATTCAGCCAGCTCCTAAAAGCCCCACCTATGAGCACTTGAGGCCTTAGAGGGACATCTGGATATAAGCCATAATAACACAGTCACTCAATGTACCCCCTTCAGGCCCAGCTGGACATCATAAAGAGACTGGACATGGCGCTGCAACGCACCATCCGCTTGGGTGACCCCCAGGCCATCCAAGTGGTGTGCACGGCCCAGTGGAACACCTGCCTGCCTCTCCTGCAGCACAGCCTGCGGCACCACCTGCGCAAGCCACTGACCAATATCGCAGAGGTCCTGGAGAAGGTGGACAGGTGTGCACCCCCAGGGGCATGTTGTTGGAGAGGGACAGAGTCAAGTACCCCCTGAGCCTGGCTTCAGTCACTGGGCCGATGCCTTTCAGTTTCATCATGTTGCCTCCATCAAGAGTGCTTTCTGCCAGGCGTGGTGGCGGACGCCTATAATCTTAGCACTGGGGAGGCTGAGGCAGGAGGATCGCTGTGAGTTTGAGAACAGCTTGGGCTACATAGTGAGTTCCAGGTCAGTCTCAATTACATAGTGAGACCCTGTCTCAAAAAACCAAAAAAAAAAAAAAAAAAAAAA